TCAAAGAGTTACATACGATCTGATTCTGTATAGTAAGGTGCTATCTACAAGTAACTTATGCTACTGTTGCTATCATTTGTTCCCCCCCCACACCCCACAATGCCCATTTATGCGACACCAATACCATGCTCTGATATATCGTTCATTTCGGTTGTAACTATTGCTTCTTGGTGTATTGATTTTAGTTTTCGTTATCTGGATAACTATTTTGAATGAGGGGTACAGAAGTTGGTCCCAGAGCATGGGAACTGTGAGGAAGAAGTTACGGAACAGGGATAAGCTGAAATTACGAAGAGGTTGAACAAACGGATGTACGATAGCTACTGTGAATTGCTTTCGGTGTTTCTAAACAGCACTCAAGCTAATCCCAAAGTCATCAACTTGGAAACTTAACGTGATCCATGTAACTGAGTCCCTATTCTGAGCTGAACAGATAATCTGCCTCTTGAAAAAAGAATCAAGCCAAGGGAGTATACTTAGGTTTACTATATGCCACAGTGACTCTTAAGAAACATCAAGGGCTTGCTCCGCTGAATGACAATAAACACCTAATCTCGTCATTACTTAACCAGTCACCTCAGCAAATTCAAGTAATGAGTTATAGAAAGTGCTGTTAAAAATCATATATATATATATATCAATGAGATTACTGGCCCGCTCTTATTACTTAATACTTAACCTATTACGCCTTCTGAATAAACAGTCCTCTTCGATTTGCGCAACTTTTAATCTGTCAACCTGAGCTTGTTTTACTTGTGGTTTTCAACGTTTGGAATCTTAATCTTACCGATTAGGTGATGAGGGCATCCCTAATGTGTACAGGCAAAGTTCACTGAGCATTCATTCTAAAAACTTACAAGTTCTCGCTTGTGGTAGCTGTGCAAGAGAGTAACTACTCTGATTAAAGCTGACCCATCGATCGATAAAGGAAGCTGATCAAACCTCAGCACCTATGAGATCCATATCGTAGAAAAGGGAAAGAATCTTTCAGTACATAGTTGATAGCACAGGACTCCACAACATTGTACTCCCGAAAGAGTGAGGTGTTGTTTCAGTTTACTGGGTTGTTTTGCAAATTAGCACACTGATAGTAGGCAAACATGTGTGGACATTTTACTAACCCGGCTCATCTTAACCCTTCTCTCTGAATTTTTACGAACAGAAACAAAAGTCGTTTTTCTGGCTACCAACGAAAGTGGAATCCAGTTGGACTTCACGCAGAACCATCCGTGTCTTCCATCTCGTTATCACATCGAATTACGCAACGACAGTGGTACGGTTCTCACGGAAGGCTGGTACAATGGGTCCAGAGTAAACTTGACAAACGATTTCCTTTGTGACCCATGTCACCTGATTGCCTCAGTGCCAGATGCTGCCCAAGGGAGTGTGGAACCTTCTGATTCGCTTGCCGTTTGGTTTGGCGAAGGTACGGTAGGAGATCCTTGGATTTTGACTTACAGGGAACGGTATTGTTGATTCCGCCGGACTAACATCATTGGGTCAAATTAGTTGTCATACTTCTGCCTCGAAACAGAAAAAGTCATTACAAAAGTTCGATTATCGGGACAAGTAAAATTGTTTGTTTGTACGATTATTTGTTGCATCACGGTTTTCTTGTCTAAAAGTGGTTGCATTCGCAGGTCAAAGTTTTAAGGAGCAAATCTTTTCGATCCGCCCTAGGATTGATGGCTGACTTACAATTTGACATCTCGGTAAATGTGCCACCACGAAACAATGTACTGAAACAGTGCATTTATCATGCCTGTGCATTGAACTTACATGTGAAATAATAACCGGTCATGATGTAATGAAATTCAGTTTTTCTGCTCTTTTCGACTTTAACCCCAAAATGAGTTGTCATTCTCGTCGGATGGATACGGACGTACAAATGATTGCATTCGCTTTTTGATTGAATCAAGTCATTTTAATTGAAAAACGTGATATTTCTTCAAATAACTCACCATCATCTGTATCACATTACTCACAGACACGGTTCAAATGATTATGGACCGTACTCTCAGATCACCTAGTAATCGTAGACGATAATTGAGCAAAACAACGAGGAAACGTGCCCTGATGTTAAATGGTTAGAAATATTCGGTTCTGATTTGTACTTTTCAGTCAGCAGGCAGATCCACTGTCCCATTACAGGCAACTCCAGACATGAAAGCATGGCAGATATTTGGATTTGCATTGTGCCAATCAGCTCACATTAAACCTGACCAGATTGACCACAGATGTTTGAGCTCAAATAAGGTGCCGGGCAGGGTGGGGGGGGGACAGTTGGTCATCTAAGGGACAGTTAGTCCAAATCGGAATTTATCATCAATTTATCATACTTTTATATTTATATTCACACACGTCCGACGCCAGACTGTGTGCCAAACAAATCATTGTACAATAATCTCTGTGAAAAAGAAAAACCTTCCATGATTTGCGTGTGGGCTGAATACTGACAGGTTGCCCAGGCCAAGGTAGGTGAATTTTCTTGGGAAATCCACAATCGGAGCCTTCGGCTAGCCAAAGCTTGACCAACAAGGCAGCGGGGTGGTGCGTAAAAACAGCAATCCACTGGGGGCCGTTGTCCAGTTAATCGGTTCAAACGCCCTTTGGACGGGGTCAAAAGTACACGGTGCCAAATTGAGCCGGTGACCATTGCCACAACCAGGAAGTTGTGTGTGTTGGTCGTATGCCTCCTCATGATTGATTTGGAATCAGTGTTTTGACCAAATCCCCTAGGTGAACTGCCAGCCACCAACCTGGTTATAGCCCCGGATGTTGGCTTTTCGTCCTCTCACTTTGGTGGAAAAACGTCTCCGTCACGAGAAGGCTTCCTCAGCAAAAATGGCTAATTGAGACGCTGGGTCGTATGGGAGCATTTCACGAGATACAAGTGAAGAGTGGCCACCCGCAATCCTAGACACCCAATCCCAACAATACTGAGATATCAATTTATCATCGGATGGTATGATCAATTTATCATACCATCCGATGACATCTAAAAGAACCGAGACTAGTTGATTGCATGTTTATGGCAACAGCAGCAGCAGAACTTAACACAGGGTAGATCTCTCATGGCGTCGATCAGTAATGTTTAAATAGATATCCTCAAAACGCCTGTGCCCAGTATTTCAATCTTTATTTAAATTACACAACTTGTTTGACATATCTTCGCTGAACACAGCTATTGACCTCAAAATTCGCACTCTACTTTTGTTTCCCGCCACCGAATGTACTACACAAAGTCCAACTGAATGCGACTCACAATGTGACTCACATAAACGCCTCGTGGTCAATTCCAGTTCGTGAGGATTTGAACAAGTTCATTCTCAAAATACAACCTCCGGTTTCAAGTATCCCGCTGATATTAGGACTAAATAAAACCAACGATTCTTACACATTCGAAGCGGATGAGTGTGGTCGCTATGAATTATCTATCAGGCAGATTGTGTTTTCAGGTAATTAATAAATAAGATTGTTGTTTCGACTGATCTGTTGTCATACTGATTATAATATTACTTCTGAATGTGTCCTCCAAGTACTAATTCAAATACCAGCTGGTAAATATTAGAGTTGTAGAAGTGAGAATCTGTTTTTGTTTTATCTTCATATTGATGAATGTTCGTTGTGAGTGAAAACTAACATAGTTATACTTACTNAACATAGTTATACTTACTCATAAGCTGCAGCATTATAGTTGTTTTCTACTGAAATCATTGCATAACCAGTTGCGCAGTGAACCAATAATATCAGTTTTGTTGAGCTTTATTTGGAACTTATTAGGAGGTTTACATATACTCTACGCTTTCGCACTTATTAGCATAAAAAAAACGAATGCCGTCCTAGGACAGACAACAGAAGGTGTTCGCGCGCGGATTGAGTAAGCATTGCGGTTCTCAACCCGTATCAGGATTTTGGGCTCNAAATAGATCAGCTAACTCATTCATGATAATGAGTCACTTTCGACAACGAAAGGTTTTCAGAGAATGCATTTATCGCAGTACTTATAAGATCTGTACAATTGCGGTTGGATGCCACCGAGCGCATCCCTAGGTCGCATATAGGCGAACCACCGTCATCGCACGGCCAACTATGAACAAGGTGAGCTTAGGCCCCCGAATAAGCAGTTGCGGACGATCAGTCGCGCGATCGAGGATGTGGTGGATTTACCTCTTGGGAAGAGTACTTCGCACAAAACACCGCATATCTATGGAGAGCGCTGTGGCGTGGCGAGTGTGGCCGCCACATAATATGACTTATGCCTCTTGTCGAGATCAAATGTTTGACAAGATTTTCCAGAAGAGGCAAATGACTCGAAAACTGGCCACCGGCTCATCTGCAACATCACGGCTGACCTGCAGTCCGCACTTGGAGGCCCAAACGTTAGAGCGCAAACTCGAAAAGGGCCTACTCTGAACCGGGCGACCGAGTATTACACTAGCCCACAATGTACACAAATATGATCGTCCTCGATCTCATAGTGGCCCTATAAATACATTTGTAAAAAATTGAAAGGAGTAGAAATAATCACAGACTAAAATTGCACCTTTCGTCGAAGAGTGCAATTGAAAGGATCTATTCACGTGTAAAATATCAAGTACTAATCTCCAGATTGTATCGATTGTAATTTGCTTCCGTCAATAATGACGAATTGTCATCCTCTTGAGCTTTGTTGGTAGAGTGGCTTTGTGCTTGACAACGAACTGACATCTGATTTTGACAAACGAGGTTTTATATGAGAAACTACAAGATGTTAGGCAAAAGGATTCTAGAGAAGGAATGTCGCCTATCGCTTGTGAAATATCATTGGTTATTTACCCAACTGTCTAACAGTAAACACTCAAAATTAGATCTTAGAAGTAGTGTGGGACGATGTTGATTGATTTGATCATCTTTCATATTTCATCTTTACTCACGGCCTTCCGGTAAACTGGAGAGGGCCAAGATTTTGTGAGATTTCACAATGTTGAATATTCATCAACCCAGACGGAACTGAAACAGCGGATATAGCAAGCATGTGTGTATGCACTGTATAAACGCTTAAATTATAAGTTCAAGAGAACTGTTTGACTGTGCTCAAAGACGTGTGTAGAATTTAAAATTCTAGTCAGTAAAACATTGTTGGTAAGTTTGGTCAACCCTGACTACGACGGAACTCGAGCGCAACTTTTCATGAGTGTGATAGTTAACTGAGTGTATACTAGAAAATTTGCTTGAAAATGACGTTTGCGGGACGATTAGTTGAATCGATTTTTGTTTAATAAAAGTTTGGTGATGCGATTTATATATTTCTCACCCGCGTTTCGTAATTCCGAATGACTAAACTCTCTAGGATTATGTTTCCTATTTCACTTGATGCATTTCACTCCATCTTTTATTCTAGTTATCAGGTTGCAAGAGAGTAATCCGGAATGCAGTCACTTCAAATGATGAATGGAATTTACTATCCTTGTGCGTAGTGCTACTAGAAGATAGTGGTCATCTGAAACACACAACCAATTGCCGTAAACATTTTCACACAGATGCACATCATTTTATTGACGAAAAGGTTCACTGTTCCACATAGTTCATGATTTGAAAATATCCGAAAGTTTTCCAATCATAAATGTGTGGTTTTGGAAGGACCAGTGTGGTAGGCAGCTCAGCGGACGCGAACGATGCGTGCCCCCCTTGGCTATTGATGCGACAATAACTAAGCTACTAATGAGTAGTATATGTGAAAATGTCTCATGACATTCATGACTTAATACGTACGTAATATCATTAGAAAAATATCAAAAACACTAATATTGGTACTAATAATAATTAGATAATGCATAAAATTATTACTAAGAAATAATGAAAAAAATAGGGTAAATCTGTTTTATGTAATCCAGAAATGTAGACATATCGTCCGGAAATGTCTCGTATGAAAAATTTAACCATAATCTGTATTGAAGCTCATCTAAATGGTCCCAAATCATGTCACCGACGGATCCGTGCACGTCAACACACACAATTTACCCTTTGGAAGAAGATCACGATCCTGAAGCCACAAGCCAAACCTTCAAGGATTTTGTGCAGATTGGAACGGCCCGACATGATATAAAGGTCACAAATTAAAACAAAAAAGACCATAATGAACAAATTTTAAGTAGCCAGGAAATATTGGTTGTTTTATTATGGTCGAAAAATATCCCATATTTTTTTT